GTTGTGGAGAAACTGGAACTCTTATTCATTGTTGGTGAGAGTGTAAAATGGTGCAACCACTGTGGAAGGCGGTATGGTGCTTTCTCAAAAAGTTGCAAATAGAGATACCATTTGGCCCAGCAATTCCACTACTGGGGATATATCCCAAAGAGTCCGTAACTGACATCCAAGCAGATATATGCACATCCATGTTTATTGCGGCTTTGTTTACAATAGCAATGAATTGGAAACAACCCAGGTGCCCATCAACAAACGAATGGATAGAGGAGCTGTGAAAAACAGGGAACTCATGCAATATTATTCAAAATGAGTGACACTGGAGGATGTTACACTCAGTGAAATATCTCAGTCTCAAAAGGACAAATATTGCACGGTGCCACTGCTGTAAAATGGGACTGATATCAGGGTTGTGGTAAGACTGAGAAAAACTGGATAAATTGTGTATACTGCATTGAAACAGATAACGGAGAGAATAATTTTAAAGCGATGTATGATAGGGTACTATGGTTATCACAAGAATCCACAATTAAGGTTGCATAGTGGAGTGTACTTGGGGTGGTGGGAGGGATGTGGGGGGATTGTATATCAAAGAAATTTTCTTTTACTTTTCAAAGAGAGGAGCTAACTGGGGCAGGGGGGCAGGGGAGAGGGCTGGGCAGGGAGAAAAGTGCAACTATGAATGAATGGAAATCCCAAATCTCTGTAAATGTTCATTAAAATATTAAAGTGAAATCTAAAAAAAATATTGCATTCAGCTCTATAGAACCTTCAACTGTAAAACAGTTTTCAGAGGCTGTAATTGTACATGAGGAAATTGCTCATGTTTCTCCCTTAGAGCAGCTGGTGGATTCGAACTGCCTGCCTTTGGGTTGGCAGTATAACTTCTTACCACTAGGCCAGCAAAGCTAATGGTGAGAAGTGCCACCGAGGTGACAGAAATGACTACTACTAAGCTAAAAAGGGAGCTCCAGTGGCCTAGTGATAAAGAGTTGTGCTGCCAACCCAATGGCATATGGTTCAAATTACCTGTCACACTTTGAAGAGAAAGATGAGGAATCTCTTCCCATGAGATTTACAGGCTTTGAAAATCCACTAGAGGGTCAGCTGTGAATCAGTTTCAAGTATACGTCATATAAAAACAACAACTACCTTAAAGGTCAGCAGTGTGAACCCACCCAGAGGTGCCACGAAAGAAAGGTCTGGCAATCTACTTCTGTTAATGACAGGAAGAAAACACTATGAAGCCATTCCTCCCTGTAACACATGGGGTCTCAATGAATCAGGATCACCTCAACAGCCACAGGTTTGGTTTACCTGGTTTAACTATATAGAGATTCTTTTTCTATTTTTAAATGACAATTTGACTTACAATATCACTTAATTTAGGTCAAAGGTAATTTAAAAAGCATAATTTTACTATTAATTTAATAGTTAAAATGCATTATATTTAATTAAGGGAATTAGATGAGGGGTGTACTTCACATCTGAAATGTTAAAAAAAAAAAAAAGAAAAGAAACAAACCAAGTAAAAGACTATCTCGCTTAGGTGGTTTTGTATTTACCACCTCTTTACCACTGAATTTTACCTTTTATGAAATTCATTAATATTTTAAATAAAAACATGACTGACTTCAACTGAAACTTCTTTTTTCCTCATGTATATTGAGAGTACCATGGAAAATAAACAGATTCATCCTGGAAAGGGTTAAACCAGGGGGCTCCTTGGAGGCAAGGATTCTGAGGCTTTGTCTAACATACTTTGGACATGTCGTAAGGAGAGACAGGTCCTTGGAGAAGGACATCATGCTTGGGAGGGTGGAGGGCAGGCGTAGGAGGGGAAGGTCCTCTATGAGGTGGATTGATTCAGTGACTGGGATAATCGGGATGGGAGTGTCAGAGACAGTGCGATTGGCACAGGACAGAGCAGAGTTTAGGGCTGTTGTACATAGGGTCACTATGAGTCGCAAGTGACTCAACGGCACATAACAACAACAACAACAACATACCCTATAAAGCATGAAAACACTGCATGTGATTCGTAAGTATTAACATAAAGATGTGCCAACAGCTGACATACATTTCCAACAACTCTAAGAAAGGGGCTACAAACATCTTACTTCACTACTGAGGATGAGAAGGTATAAAGATACCGAGGTAACTGTCCCACATCACACACCTTGCCTTGGTGGAGCCTGATCTGATTCCCACTAAGCAGTCAGAATGCAGAATTTTGCTCCTAACCACTCTGTTCTCTTCAATGACCTGATCTGATCCTAGTGTGTTCTCAAAAATGGTTGATTGTACTTCTGCCTGATGTTTGTTGTTGTTGTTGTTGTTGTTGCTGTGTGCCTTTCAGTTAGAACCAACTCCCAGCTGACATTCCAGTGGATTTTCAGAGGCAGTAAATCACATAGGACATTACCCAGCTTTTTCCAGAGCAGCAGCTAGTTTGAACCACGTGCCTCTGAATTGGTAGCATAGCTCTTTACCATTAAGCCACCAGAGTTCCCTGGCCTGATGTTGTTACCAGGTTTTCTTTCTCAGTGTTTAACTGAAAACACTGGTAGCCTAGGCCCTAGGAACATGCACTGCTAACCCAAAGGTTGCACCTCCCTGATGGTTCGAATATACCCTGCAGGTTTGCTCAGAATTGAGAGGAATGAGGGTTTCCAGGGTGCAGGACCTTCAGGACTAAAACTGGGCACGTTCCAATCAAATCAGGACAGGTTGGTCACCTTATAAGCTAAGCCAAAGTTAGCTACTAAAGAAAACAAAGACAATGAAAAAGAATTAACAAATCCGGTATCTCAAACTATCCAAGGAGGTGTCACTTATTTCTATCTCAAAAGCATTAGATAAAAAAAAAAAAAATTAAAAATTAAGGGGAGTTCTGGTGGCCTAGTGGCAAGGAGCTGCAACTACAATCCCAGAGGCTCACGGTCGAATCCACCAGATGCTCTGCCAGGAAAAGGAGGGACAATCTCCTCCTGTACCAGTCAGATCTGATTTGATGGTACACACACACACACACACACAAAATTAGATCAAAAGACTTCTCAACTATCTACTTGTTGTTAGGTGTCACGATCCTATGAACAACAGATCTGAACCTTATCCTGCCCTATCCTGCACCAACCTCACCACTGTGGGTATGGTCAAGCTATTGTTACAGCCCATGTGTCAATCCATCTTGTTGAGAGTCTTCCTTTCTTTCTTGCCCTACAGCTATCCCAGCACAATGCCCTTTTCCAAGGACTGGCCGCTCCTGAAAACATGAGTTTCACCATCTGTGCCTCCATGGAGCACCCTGCCTGCACTTCCTTCAAAACAGACTTATTCTCTTGGCAGTCCATGGGATATCCAGCACTCATCTACACCACAATTCAAAAACATCAATTCTTCTGCCTTGCTTATTTATTGTTCAACTTTTAGATACATAGAAAGCAAGTGAAAAAACCAGCCACTCTTTAAACGGACATCCTTGCTCTTTAGTCCTTTGAAAGGTCCTTAACAACAAATTTACCAATGGAACAAGTCTTTTGATTCTTGACTGCTGGTACTATGGGTGTTAGTTGTGGATCCAAGTAAAATGAAATTAATGACAATCTCAATCTTTTCTCCATATATCATGATGGTGCCTATTGGTCCAGTGGAGGGGATTTTTGTCTTCTTGATGTTGAGATGTAATCCATCTTGAAGGCAGGAGGCTTTGATCTTTCACAGCAAGTGCTTCAAGCCCTCTACAATTTCAGTGAGCAAGGTTGTGTCATCTGCAAAACATGGTTTGTTGATTACTCTTCTGCCAACTCTGATGCCACATTTGTCTTCATATAATCAAGTTGTAGTTGTTATGCACAAGTGACCCTCCAGAGTCACATGGAAAGATATCACCAATCTTTCCACCACAGGGCAGCTGATGGATTTGAACTGCATGTTGTCAACACAACTCCTTACTACTAGGCCACCAAAGTTCTAGTTGTTAAGCACTATCAAATTAGAACTGACCCATATCTGACCCTCCAGTGAATTTTCAGAGGCAGTAAACCACAAGGGAGGAGCCTGCTCATATTTCCACCACAGAGAAGCTGGTAGATTCAAACTGAATGCCTCTGGATTGGCAGTACAATTCCTTACCATTAAGCCACCAGTGTTCCCCACCAGACCTCTAGTTGTATGCTGTAGAATCTTAACTGACTCATAGCTGACCCTCCAGCAGGTTGGTAGCTCATCCTTCTTCCACAGATAACTGGTGGATTTGAACCACGAGATCTAGTCATTGCTGTTAAGTGCTATGACTCATAGCAACCCTATATGAACATCACATCTGAACCGTGCCCTATCCTGTGCCATCCTCATCATCTCTGACACACTGGAGCCCATGGCTGCAGTCACTGTGTCAATTCATCTCGGGGTCTTCCCTGACCTTCCATCTTTCCAGGCATAATGTCTCGTTCCAAGGAGAGCCTTGCCTAGTAATATGCCCAAGGTATGAGAGACAATAAAAACTTCATCTTTGCCTCCATAATAAAGCACTCAGGCTGCACTTTCTCCAAGACATATCCGTTTGTTCTTTTTGCAAGTCCATGAGATATTCAGTACTCTTTGCCAGTACCATAGGTCAAAGACATCAATTCTTCTGTCATGCCTACTCACAGTCCATCTCTCTAATGTGCAGCAGGTGATTGAGAAGACCAGGGCCTGAATCAGGCGCACTTTGGTTTTCAAACTGACCCCAAAAAAGCAGAAATAAATAGTTGACACTGAAAGATTTCAGGAAGTAACATATGAACTTTAGAGCTCTAGATAGCCTGCCAAATTGTCACAAGGTCCCTGGCTGGTGACAGGGCCTGGCGCTCAACTTTGCTCTAAACCACAGCGCGTGGCCCCGGGGAGGTGGGTGCGCGCCGCCCCCGCACTGCCGCGTGACGCCCAGCGGGGTACACGCCCACCCGGCCGTGCGCACACACAGGCCCCGCGCGCCCCCGCCTGTATTGACTTACTTGTAAGGTACCGGCCAGTGGCGCCGAGTGGGCGCTCCCGACGCCTGAGCGCAGCCGGGGGCCGCGGTCAGCCAGAGCAGCGCCATG